ACACCCATATGCCGGACTATGTTGCTGAATAGAGTGTACTTGCACCGATCACGGTGCAGTAAGTGGTCCCTGAACGTTGAACCGCTAAGAGTCGGTTTGGAGTCCCGCTTAACAGCATAAACAACCCGAGCCGGGTCAGAGAGTTTGACTGCTCCACCGTAGATCCTTTGGTAAGGCTGGGCTAGAAATCGTAGGTTCTCGAACTAAAACAAAATCAAGACTCAAGTACTTGCTGATGTCAAGGAATCCACCTTCCCAAGCCGGTTAAACTCCTTCAAAGTGCCATGACATCCGCTGGGTTCGTAGCAGACGGCCGGACACCGAGAATGCTGCTAAGAAGCTGGTGGCATTTCACATTCAGTACGGCCTCACTGGTTCAATACAGCCCTAGGTGCAGTAGGTCGAGCAGCGACAGAGACCGATGATAGCACCCATGTCCCGCGCCGCAAGCAAGGGTAATTGATCAACAGTTGAGTACAGAACGTGAATTGACTACTCGGCATGACCTCGTTGTATTCATGTCGAAATCAACCCTGTTACTGTGCGGGAACGCTCATCTTAAGCAGGCGAAGGTTATATGCCCCTACTGTTCATAGATATCTCTCGTAGTAAATTCCAATCCACCAGATCATCCGATATCAACATCGTAAACACAGATCTAGGCCGCATCCGAGGTTCGCCTGTAAGTCCATAAGGCTGAGGCAAAGGCAGAATTAAGTACGCTTCTTCCGAGTTCACAAATGACACACAGCGACCAAGTACACTTGTAAAGGCTCAGCTGGACCGGACCTCGGTCCGATCATGTCTCCAATCACTGTACAGACGCTATCACGGCACGAACGAACATGATTCGAGCTTGTACAATATATAGCATTCCGGCTGCGAATGTCGCCTATGATACATAATTATCGTGGGAGAATTGCTTCGTCTTAGCTATCGCTGTTCTATTCCCACCCGCTGTCCAAAGCACTGTTAAGCATCTCTTCTCTCCTTTCGCGCCCGAGAAACCTGCTTGGAAACACCCACGCGTTCCATCAGACCCAGATCTAAATGGCAGTTGACAGGGGGTTACCATTCCCGATATTCCGACAGCTGTCTCCTACACAGCACACTTGACTAGGCGCTCCCAGTTCACTCGCTGCCGCCGAAATGGCCCTGAAAAAGATCCGTGTAGTAGCGCGTACAAGCACGGCGCTCAACTTTGCGATCCTATCCTCAGGACTGACCAAGGAGATGTTGACGATGGCCATCTTTCCGCCGGCGTGTGCTGCTTTCGCCATTTTGGAGAGAATATTAGAGACAGTCAAGGTGTGTGTTCTACGGACCGCTTCTTTTTGACGAATCTCAAAGACTTCCAGGATGTTCAAGTTCGTCGAGCCGTCTATCTATGTACCGAGTAACGCGTCTAAATCAGTTTTCCAGTCTAACAAAGAAGCCTGTCATCGCCTTGTCCACAAGTGCGCTCGCATTTTATTCAACATCAACGAACAGATGGAAGGAAGATGGGAATCTGCATCTCCGTTGCTGCTGAAGAATATCAGTCGTCTTCAAGAGTGCGTCGTAATACACATATCTTAGGGGAGGTCGTCGGGCTTACTTTTATGCAGGACGCTGACCATGATACACGCATTCATGGTAAAAGAGACACAAGCTAAATGGAGCAGCCGTCTGTTACGCAAAAATTCGATTGAAAACGCGTTAAACGAATACGCCGAACTGTTGAACGAAGCATCACAGGCGTTCCAGGCATGTTTCCGACCTCTCATTCGTAATATCAATAACCCCATGGCGTAGGTAGCAGCGCTCATCAACATCCAATACACAGTTGAAGCGGCCGCCCAGAAGAAACACGATTCCAAGCTCGTCACAGAAGCACAGGGCAGCCTCGCCCTTGAAACCGTCGTCCATAAACCACATCGTTCTCCAACGCTTCCACCATATCAAGAAACCGACAAAGCCGAACCTGCAGAAACAGTCCAAGATGACTTCCAATACGCCCTCGACGACCTTGACAACCATGGTGTAAGTGAATAAACAGCCACATCTTTTGTCATATCTTCACACCACCGGTTCCTAGTTCCGAAGGTATCACCAGTCAGAAGTTCGTTTAAAGGGTTCGTTTGGGGCTTCTACTTCCAGTGGCTGGTGGTCAGACGTGAACGAAGCACTCGTTTATGGGGAACCTACGCTTATCCGAAGGTACGATCAAGGTACCAAAGCCAGCGCTGTTAAGGCGAGGATGTTATTTCTCGCTTCGTATTTGGCTGTGGGTTAACGTTGTCCTTCTGAAGGAGTGGATCCATGATGTGAAGATCCTCCAAAACTTATAGCAAGTCCCAGAATCTCTCGTCCACATGTGTGGCTATACTAACATAAGCTGGGGTACATATAGCCATCCAAACCTACCCCAAATGATCGGGGTATCTGCAAATGAAGCCGGAACACCGTTTGTTATCCTATCTCATGGTACGAATTTTTTTCCAGTGGCGAAAATAGATGGTAATAATTCACTGTCATTAGTCCAAAGGCGATCTCCAGAGAATCTCCTAATCGACTCTCTCAACAAATTCGGCTTAGCTGGATGCATAAACACCGTTCTGCATTTTGTGAGTACTTTACTCCGACGGAAGACCTTCTTCAAATTGAATTTATGCCTGTATACTTAGTACGTCGACATTTCCGTAAGTTACTCTCCGGACATGTTCGCTCTACTGCTTTTGATTAATTTTGATCTTATTGATTTTTTTTTCATGCGCCCCCATAGAACGCCGCCGCATACCTTCAACGACAGCTCGAGCTGACCGACTCACAAGTGCAAGATGTCATAGAGGTTCGGTCGTTTGCCTCCATTATGCAAGCGCCGGTTGAGGCTTACCACTGAATGACATGCAGAGTGTGACCTTCGCGGCAGACGGGGGTAAAAATTTGATCATGGGCCTCCCGCCGCCCAAGGATGGCACATGGGTGACCGCCAGAAACTACAGCCTAGCAGATACTATAGGATCTGCTGCTATGAAAGTGCGTTTCACTTAATGCTATAAAAGGTCTGTCAATTCGAACCAGGTTCTCATGACCTCTTACAGTTTTTGCCACCCCGAGGTTCGGTGATACTGAACAGAAACGGGTTGATTGGTGAGCATTCATTTATTCATAGTCGTGACTGCCAGCAGTCGTTTATTGATATTGATCCCTAGATGACGATGAGATTATGCGCCTCCATCATGTCGCGGCATTGGTGGAGGGTTTTTTTCCCAAAGCCCGAGAGCCTCATGGCCTCCCCGAGAGGACAAGGGCATTGTTGACTGACGTAGATGAACCATTTAATGGTCTGATGAAGGGACAAGCGCCTTCTCTTCGCCAGCTGAGGTTGTCAAGCCTGGACGCGAAATCTCACGGCCACGCCTGGTACACAAGCTTGGGAGTCCTTCCATGTCGGTTTTCTGTGGGAGATTTCGGGTATATTCCTCGACACAGAGGACACGCGGCGTCTGGTAAATCGTTCAAGGACTTTGTGCTGTTAGGAAACACATTCCGTGACGACTTTGCCAAGTTCGTCGTTGAGAGAGCGTGTCATGGTACTCAATTCTGCTGGAAGGACTTTCCGATGACCCGTCAGCCTGTCAATCCGTTCAGTCTGACAGATGATATTCAATGGTACACTTCTTTTCCCACAAACTAAATGTAATCGCTGATCGAAAATCTCAGCTGGCCGATAGTGGTCCCTCCGGGAGCGCAGATAGACTGTGACATAACTCACGAGCAGTCTATGGCTAATACTGCGGACGCTTGGCATTTCCTCATACAAGAGTCTCGCTCCATCGCCGGTGAGCTGGGCATTCAACCCCATGATCTGATACTCAGTAAGTCCATTCATCCCTTCATGTCATTTTGACCGTGACCTGTGTCTAGTTACTCGAACTGGACTGTCTAGACACGCCTACATCCATGACTTTGCAACCTCTGTCAAACTCGGACCTTCTCATTGGCGTCATCAGCCTCACGGGGTGCGGCACCCTCCCCGGCCTTTCTTCCCGCATCAGCCGCCAGCCATAGCAACGCCCATGTACTTGCATACTTCTTTTGATGATACCTACAAGCCCTATTGGTCTCATCAGCCCCGGTATACGCCACACGAGCCGCAATCAAAGCCGCCGCCCCTTTCGGGAGGATGGAGGAACTCAGTCGGATCGTGAGTTGAAGTGGCTCTGAGTGACATGGACACTTATTATTTTCAGGGATACGCAATTCGTTTCTTGGATTCAGCTTCTTCCCGAGGATTTCGATGACTAGTTGAGACCTGGGCTAATGTCAATCAATTTCGGAGACGAAGCAAACTTTACTACTGGCGTTGACATCCTTGATTAAGTAGGAAGATGGACCCCCGCATAAGTACATGTAATGGGGAATTCTACGCGAAGTAATAACTACGATGATGTTCCCCCCTCGCTGTCATTGATCATTATTTAAATTGCAATCAAGCCGACGTCGCCTTGGACAGCACTCGGGTCAGACTAGTTTCACTTCGGTTTCAACTACAAGTCGTCATGGTAGAGAAATGCTATTTGTGTATATTACAGTGGAGAGCATCAGCAACGAAAATACTAGACTACATACAAGACAGGACCGACTATCACGTAGTCTAGTATTTTGAGTGGTTACTAGCCGTTTCTGGCCACTACTTGGGTTTCTGTTTCACGATTAATCAATAATATTTGCCTCCGTACGATCCAGACTGACGACAGGTGGAATGGATGAGCAAAAATAGGTGATTGAGGAGGGTTTCGAGGTTCCCAAACCCAAGCACAATTCAGTGGGCACTTGGTACCGAAGCAGTGGCAGATTATACTTGGTAATTTGGTAGTTATGCCGGAAGTGAGGAATCCAGAGTGGAGACTGAAACAAGTAATCAGGATACAAGACGAGAGTTGAACCAGTTGAAACGTACAAAAAGGGTTAGTCTTTAGATTCCGTTAGAAACAAATTTATTTTTGGCCAAAACATGGGGACACCCAGGATTGAACTGGGGACCTCCAGAAGTGCAATTTATCTTTAGCTATGGCGCTTCAGTCTGTTGCTCTCCCAGCTGAGCTATACCCCCACACAAGGAGTGAGCTGCCGAGTTGCTGGATCGCTATATCAATTTCTCTTCCATGGACTTCCATCTTTCCCATGCGCCTGAATGCTCTTTGGACAGTTCAGTGCGCCCCGGGACCATTAAGCCACTGTGATTATGACACCTTCCCTTAGCTCCGAGCCTGAGGCCTCCGACATGGAGTGCCTCAAATAATAAGCATGCCTTACCCTGAGGCCCTTCGCGCGTACGGACGTTCATCTGCAGGGTTCTATTGACGGTGGGGCAGGTCGCTCCGACTCACAGCTGTTAGCGGCGAGGGAGGTGCCTACTATCTGAGCGGGAGGTCAACATTGACAGTGACGGAGGGCTGGAAGAGAGACTGAGGTGGTCTGACGAAAGTCGGGCGGGGTGTCGCTGCTGAAAAGTTACGTGCGTACTGCTCTGCTACGTCGTTGCGCCCCAAAGAACACGCCTTGAGGTGATGCGCCGGGTGAATATTATTACCTGAGAATGGAGGGTTACTCAGGGCGATGATAGATCAAGGTATGTTCCTACTTGTACGTCCAATGTTGTCCCTACAACTTATCACGTTCAATTCAGTGTATAGTGTCCAGGGCCTTTGTACAGACCAGACTCGTTGAAATTGAGAGCCAGTCGAGATGGCCTTCAAGATGCAAGTACAAGACCAAGGGCTTGACTTTGAGTCGCGAACCACATCGCCGCAACAACTTTGACTGGGCTGTCGACATAACTTCCACGATGTGAACTCCCATCTCGCCGAGGATTCCCAATTTTCACCAGGAAACAACAAATATTTCTTCGCTACCAACTCTTTCAACGCAAGATAGGGAAGGGAGTATTGAAAAGGCAAGGGCACATTCGGGATGGTATGTCATTCTTCTTTCATCCACTTCACTGACTCATTCTTGCCTAGCCCCATCTTACTCATCTGTGTTGGTGCGACCGTCACTTCTTTGACGAGTAACCAAGGGCCCTTCCGCGCATTGCTCATAGAACATGAAAATAGTTCAAACCTACCATTGTGGAAACATCCTCCCATCCTCTGAGCAGTATTGCAGTGGCAGTGGGACGGAGTATCGATGCTTACCATCCGAATACGTTTGCTACTGTTGAATCTCATCCATGCCAAAACGATTGTGTCTGCGACAGCTTTGGGTACGTTCAGCGTCTGTCTTGGTAGTGCATGAAGCGTAACTCATCACTTGACATCGATACCTAAAGTTGGGTTCGATGTATCTCGTCTACGTCAACAACTGCAACCTCTCGATGCGATACGACACTGATTCTATCCTCTCAAAGTTTTTCATCCAGTGTTTGGATTTAAAATTGGACTCGAAGACCTCAACCCTCGTGATGTTATAGCGAGGGTGTTAATATTCTTGTACTCTTGGCAGGCAGCATGGCCTTTGAGATAGCGTACTCATGCAGGGTGTCTATTTCTTTAAGGTCTGTGTCGGAGGCGAAGATTACCAGTCAAGTAAAGATGAGAACGATGCCTATATAAAGGCGGCGTTGGACGTGATGGCCAAAACTATATAAGAGTTCCTGATTTGGACCCGTGCTGGTAACTTCACAAGATCTGTATCTCTGTCATAGGGTCAGTGTTTAGCTCCATGAGTCTCCTTCGTCCAGTCAGTTGACGTTAACAGATAACCACAACAATGTTGCAGTGGGGAGGATCTCACCTGGGCAGTCGTTTTAGCAAAGTCAGATGGTAAAGGACCATGAAGAAAGTAAGTAAAATCGCCTTATCATTTTGATACAGGATTTCTGACTGACGCTAGACGGCATCGCTGCCGGCAACGTCTTTTCTAGTTTGCAGTGGAGAATACATTCCTCGACATGCTGTCTTGATCCTGGTTGTACCGGGTGGGTGATGGCCGCGTTTGACACATAGCATGAGGGCCAACACATCTTTGTTTCCAACACCCACCATGTCCACAGCATCTAATGCCCTCCCCGAGAATTCTGGAGGATCAGCAGTCACCGAGTAACAAACTACGAATGTCGAAGCAATGGAAAACCTTGCTGAAGAAGAAGACACCAATACTGCAGCACAACCATACGCAGAATATGTTGATCCTGCGAAGTCGAGGAAAGTTTTTGGACTGAAAGGGTCTGCTACCTACCAGCCTCCCAAAGGTAAATCACACCTTTCGTGGATGGGATCGTTCTCATCGAAGGACGTCAGGTAACGATCCTCTCAACTATGAAGAAAAGTATCCAGAAGATGCATATGGTGAAGAGCTGGGACCGAATGCTAGGGTTTTTCGGACCTACGTTGATGAACGTGCAAAACATGACACGAATATGGTTGAAGAAGCGAAAGATGGTGTCGACGTGCTTCTCGTTTTTGTACGCCATCAATTTTTTAGTTTTTCCTCTGCTCATTCCGCTGTACCAGGCGGGTCTGTTCTCGGCTGTGGTCACTACGTTTGTCGCACAAACATCACAGAGTCTACAGGCAGATTACACAGAGATGTCTGCTAATATGCTCTTCGAGATGATCAAGATACAGCGGGCCATTGCAAACAGCGCCTCCTTGAACACCGTTGCTCCTTCCCCCCTCAACCCCAGTATCACTTTTATTGCATCGACAACCAGTGTGTGGGTCAATGGACTGTGGTTCACCAGTCTTGCACTCAGCCTGACAACAGCACTCGTCTCGGTACTGGTCAAGCAATGGCTCCACCACTACATGGCTCCATTATCCGGAACACCCCGAGAGCGTAGCCTTCTGCAACAATTCCGATTCTCAGGACTGCAGAAATGGCGTGTTCTGATTATCATTGGCCTGCTCCCCGTTCTTATGCACACTGCTCTCGCTATGTTCTTTGTTGGCCTTGTGATCTTCCTTGGTCCACTGCGAGATTCCATTGCACGGGTTGTCGGTGTTATCACAGCCGTTGCGTATACATCATACTTATTGGCACATATTCTCCCCCTCATTTTCCCGCAATGTCCCTACCGGACGTCGCTGTGTGATCTTCTCCACGTCGTGTACAGCCGTGTGATGCAGTATACCGTGGATCACCTTAGGTATCGTTTTCGCCAGTCTGAGACGAACATGGATATTACACCCACTGACGAGTCTGCCTCCAACGTTCGAAAATGGAGGAGTCTGAAAGAGCTGGAGTCAGATGTGGTACAGTCAATATCGGGGGAATTATCGGTCGAGGCCCTACATTGCCTCTTTTCCATGACATCGAACCCAACTGTCCGGAGTATTGTCCTTCAAGCTATTGGCGGTTTACATCCAGCATTGCAGAACAAGATTCGATCTCTACTCAATGATGTTAGCTCATTAATACGGGAGTCCTGTGAAAAGTGCCTTACTGTGCCGTCACCGCTCTCTCTGAATGTGCTGCCTGGTGTAGAGACGAAGTTTGAACGATTACTACGCTGCAACCTATTTCTCTTTGACACAGACTTCATTGGCTGGTGGGCCCTTCAGACCGGCTATGTCGGAACTACACCCAGTGTCAGGGCCCTGATAGTTAAATATGGAGGAGACTCATGAGAGAAATCGGTTTATGAAAGAGGTTACAAGCAACGGAGCTAGGGCATTCTCTCATTCCTCCGAGAATGAATATTGGGTTTTCCATCCTGTGGTCTGGATCGACCTCATTACGAATGCGGCAGTGGCCAGCGCCTTCTTTCCCATTGACATCAGCACTCAAGATCCCTTTGCAATGGATATATGCTGTGCAATTCTTCCCGCATTTCAGTGGTCTCGTTCCGAGGATCAACACCGCACAACAAGCATGGTCCAACCACGTGCTGCAGCTATCCCGTTCCCCGACGTTGTTCGCGACTACCTACATTCGGAGATGACAGCGTATCTCCTGGAAATGTTTGCCGTGCTTGTGCGACCCTCGAATGTTACCTCTATTGAGCCATCTCTAGCGAATCCTTTTGGTTTTTGCCGAATTTCTTATTTCTAGGCTTCCCTTAGGAAAACAAGCAAATACAGCTGTAGTGGAGTTACGTGCCCTCACCACAGCATTTGAATTCATTTGGGGACATGACTTCCCTCCTTTTTCTGAGGCAGATGCTGCCGTCTTCGATGTCCTCGATCAGTTCATAACGAGTAACCTGACATTTTCCTCTATCATAAAAACCGAGGATCTGCACATGGAAGCCTTGAAGATATACTCCTATGTGGTCCGTACACGATATGATACCTTGCTGCCCAGATCTCTGGAGGCGGTAGTCAATCTCGTCTTTGATCATTACAACTCCAACGATGACAGTCCATCTTATGTAGCTGCAATCATAGCAAGCGGCCTTCGCGAAGGCAGCCCGACAATGCTTAGCGTCTTCCATACTGCACAATGCTTGGAGTATTTTGGACACCATGGATATCGCCCATGTTTGCTAGAAATCATCGAAGGTTATCTTTCCATATTTCAACCCCACTTAAATTCTCGTATTGAAGCTTCAGGTGGTACAGGAACATATCGAGTATCTCCACACACCTGACATCTTGTTCAATGTTTGTTCCATCCTTGCCATCGGTTGGGACTATCTCCCTGAAAAAAGTCGCAGAGAGGAAATCAAGCGGAATATCTTATCACTTGTTCAGATCTAGCAGAATGCTCCTGCATGGAAGGACTGCTGCTCCAGACTCAAACAATTACTTGAAGAAGATGGCACGGAATTCTTTTATCGGCAGACTCGTATTTGTGGGATTAAACAAGTTCCATTGTCAGCCGAAGAAATAGCGGATCAAGGTAGATATATTCGTTTTGCCATTGAGACTTTAGATGCGTTTTTCTCAGGCGCGTTGGATGATGGGCATGTGAGTGTTAGATTATCATAGTTATTGGATTACATACTTACTAGAACCAGGAGAATGATCCCAATGACCATCTTGTGGCGATTCCGGATGTTTCACCAATTTCTCAATTTCGAGCGACCCGGCGCGGTCACTTGCATCGATTATTACCTTGGCATGGTCAGCGAGAGGCAGGCGACCACGATGCTATAGAGCATGTTTGACT